AAACTGGACATGAAGCCATCATATGCAAAAACAAAAATCCACAGCAAGGAGAAGAGGCTAAACTTGTTGATCAAGAGGAGGAGGATCAACTTTTTGTAGCCACGTGTTTTGCGGCGGTGAAGCAAGTGAGAGTGGGCGATTGACATGGTTGCACCAATCATATGACCAATGATAAGGAGCTTTTCAGAGATTTGAGGCCTACCACTATCACCAAAGTGAGAATTGGGAATGGTGACTATATTTCAGTTAAAGGCAAGGGAACAGTTGCAATAACTTCTTGTTCAGGTACAAAGTTCATTCCTGATGTTCTTTTTGTTCCTGAAATTCAACAAAACTTGTTGAGTGTTGGTCAGTTAATTGGAAAAGGGTTTAAAGTTGCTTTCGAAGACAATTTTTGCCTAATTAGAGATGCAGCCAACCAAGAAATCTTTAAAGTAAGAATGAAAGGCAAAAGTTTTGCTCTAAATCCATTGGAGGAGGAGCAGGCAGCCTTCTCAATTAAGGAGAATGTCACCGAGATTTGGCACAAGAGACTCGGGCATTACCACCACCACGGGATGCTGCAAATGAAATCCAATACAATGGTAGAAGGTCTTAGAATTTGAAAATCAGATTTCAAGCTGCAAGGCATGTCAATTCGGCAAGCTCAATAGAAAACCATTCTCAAAGTCAACTGGCAGAGCTTCAAGGAAGCTGCAACTGATCCACACAGATGTCTCAGGCCCTCAAAGAACACCTTCTCTAAAGGGTAGTCTCTATTATATTGCCTTTATTGATGATTTCACCAAAATGTGTTGGATTTTCTTTTTGAAGTTCAAATCAGAAGTGGCTCAAGTTTTTTGGAAGTTCAAGGCAAGAGTAGAGAATGAGAGTGGCTGCAAAATTCAGATTGTTAGATCTGACAATGGGAAGGAGTACACTTCGGTACAATTCAACAAGTTTTGTGAAGATGCAGGCATTGAGCATCAGCTTACAGCCCCTTACACTCCTCAGCAAAATGGAGTTAGTGAGAGGAGAAATAGGTACATCATGGAAATGTCAAGATGCATGCTGCATGAGAAGAATTTGCCAAAGAAGTTTTGGGCAGAGGCAGCAAGTACGGCTGTGTTTCTTCAAAACAGACTTCCCACAAAGGCAATGAAAGATCAGACACTTACAAACCAACTCTGAAATATCTTAAAGTTTTTGGTTGCTTGTGCTTTACTCATATTCCACGGAGTAAGCGTGACAAGCTAGATAGAAAAGCTTTACTGGGTATTTTTATAGGCTATAGTACAGTCAGCAAGGCCTATAAAATTTTCCAGCCACAAACTGGAAATATTATAGTTAGCAGGGATGTCCACTTCGTGGAGGATGAAGAGTGGAACTGGGATGATGCAAAGAAGAAAAGTCAGATCGTGGTAGAGCCAAAATTCAAGCTCTTTGGTTCAAGCACTGAAGAAGATGAAGAAAGACAAAATGAAATAGTAGATAATGTCCCCGTGAGAGGAACTAGGTTGCTCTCTGACATTTATCAAAGATGCAACATTGCTGTGTGTGAACCTGCAGATTATGAAGAAGCAAGAAATGATCAAAGGTGGATAGCTGCAATGAAGGAGGAGCTGTCCATGATAGAGAAGAACAATACATGGATTCCAGTGAAAAGGCCTCAAGATAGAAAAGTAATTGGAGTCAAGTGGGTGTTTAGAACCAAGCTCAATGCTGATGGCTCTATCAACAAACACAAGGCAAGACTTGTGGTAAAGGGCTATGCTCAAGTTTTTGGCGTGGACTACTCGGATACCTTTGCACCCGGTTGCTCGATTGGACACCATAAGAATTCGCTTGCTGTCATTGCTCAAATGAATTGGAGAGTATACCAACTTGATGTAAAATCAGCATTTCTAAATGGTGTTTTGCGGGGAAGAAATTTATGTTGAACAGCTGAAGGATTTGAGAAGAAAGGAGAGGAGGACAAGGTGTTTCTTCTCAAGAAAGCTCTTTACGGTTTGAAGCAAGCTCCAAGAGCTTGGTACAGCAAAATTGATGACCATTTGCTGAGCTTAGGCTTTGAAAAAAGCATGTCTGAGGCCACTCTTTATGTCAAACGTCTAAGCAATGATATCCTCATAGTTTCTCTTTATGTTGATGATCTTTTGCTGATAGGAAATGATGCAAAGCTGGTTGAGGAGTTTAAACATGAAATGATGAAGGACTTTGAGATGACAGATCTCGGCTTAATGTCATTCTTTCTTGGAATGGAAATTAAGCAAGCTGAGCATGAGGTTTTCATCGCGCGGAAGAAGTATGCGAAGGAGATCTTAAAGAAGTTTAAGCTTGAAGAATGCAAGGAAGTAAGCACTCCTATGAATCAAAAGGAGAAGCTATGCAAAGAAGATGGTGCGGATAAAGTTGATGAGGGATATTTCAGGAGTTTGATAAGTTGCTTAATGTATCTCACAGCAACAAGGCCTGACATTTTGAATGCTGTAAGTATTTTGTCCAGATATATGCATTGCGCAAGTGAATTGCATCTCAAGGCTGCCAAGAGAGTGATTCGATATGTTAAAGGGACAAGTGATTTTGGTGTCAAATTCACGAAAAGCAAGGAGTTCAAGCTGGTTGATTTTTCTGACAGTGATTGGGGAGGTTCCATTGATGATATGAGAAGCACTTCAGGCTACTGTTTTGTTCTTGGATCTGGTGTTTTCTCTTGGAGCTCAAAGAAGCAAGAAACCGTGGCTCAATCCACTGCTGAAGCAGAGTTTGTTGCTGCAACAGCTTTTGTTAATCAAGCCTTGTGGCTGAGGAAAATTCTAATGGATCTCAATCTTGAGCAGAAAGAAAGCACTAAGATATTTGTTGACAACCAAGCTACCATTGCTATTTCCCACAATCCTGTGTTTCATGGGAAAACTAAGCATTTCAACATCAAGCTATTCTTTCTGAGAGAAGTGCAAAAAGAAGAATCTGTGACTTTGGTTTATTGCAAGTCTGAAGATCAGCTGGCAGATCTATTTACAAAGCCCCTTCCAATCAGCAAGTTCGAGTTTCTGAGGCAGAAAATTGGTGTTTGCAGCTCCTAAAGCAAGGAGGAGTGTTAGGAATATGCTTCAGGACTGAAACATGTCCACGTACAGCATATGTTTTTGTTATTTCAGTTTGTTAAATGGTTGTCCTAGTCTTTAGGAAGCGGTTAAGCTATTTTTATTAGTGCTGTTGATCGTGGCTTATTTGTAGGGCCATGTTGTTAGTGGTTGGTTATTTTTCCTTCCTTTAAATTGTAATGTTTGCTGAAGTTATAAAAGTTGTCTTTCCTTCCATACGTTTTTCTCAAGTCTGTTGTCTTTCTTCACTCAACTAAAAAACCAACACATTGGTTATCCTTGCTCTGACGAGTTCTCTTGTGGTTCGGACCGAAGCCGCATGCCCTTTTGAGCTGCATTTCTGTAATCGATGAGGTCTATTGTTACAAGCCCGCGTAGTGGGCGCTTCTCTGTGAATGTGGGTGGTTTTGCTTGTTGAATTTGAAATTGGGCATCTTTCTTGTGATTGTTGCTCTGCTTTAAGTTGTTGCTTTAGAAATCCAATGGCTTGCCTGTTACTTGGGGGTTTAGTACCTCTAGTGGAATGGAATCATCATCGGTCATGAGTTGTTACACTGGATTCAATAAAATTCTGATTTAATATTTGGAAGTGATTGTGGGTGTTGGTTGACGAGTGAAATGGTTTTGCACTTATCCATTGGCCTCTCCTAATTTGATGGCGGAGCCTTTGAGCTAGGGTGCATAGATCAATAGCTGTTAAATCGGCAGCGGCCAGACAACCGTTGAGATGGATCCACAGGTGAATGGCTTAAAGTGCTGCTTGCCTACTGAATCCATCTCACATGTTGCTCTTGAAAATACTTTCTTCTCTCAAAGTAGAAGAAAATTTTGGAGAGAACTGGTTTACTGAGTATTCGGTCGATTGATGGTCAAGATGTATCTTCTTTTGTTAAATGGGTCGATTATATATTCAATGAAGATTAGTAAAGTTAAGGATGATATGAGGTGCATTTCTCTAACAGAGAAAAGAAATTTTGACACTAATTGAGCTGACTCTGGATGCTGTAATGCTCAAACGCTTATGTGATGTCCATGAACTGATATCATGGATCTATGTACAATTTCTAGGCCTAAATAATTTGCTTGCTTGGAATATTGGAGACTGAATCTAGTGTCTAGTAACTTGTTCCTGTTCTGTATGTCCAGATCATATTGTACACCATCATGTTGCATTTCTTTCTTTCTTTTCTTTTGTTACTTTTGGATGATGCTGCCTTTCAAGATGCCTGGTTGCTGTTCATGCTTGTTTTTGGAAAGATAAGCTCCTGATTGTAAATTGTTGATTGTATCACTAATCTTGCATTAGTAAGACAAATCTAATCATTAAATCTATCATATCATGGCTCAGAAAAGGGAGGCTCCGCCTGGTGGTGAAACCTGAACCAGTTCGAACTCACCTGCGCAATATGATTATTGCTCCAGAAATGATTGGGAGCATCATTGGTGTATATAATGGTAAAACCTTCAATCGAGAGGAAATAAAGCCTGAAATGATTGGCCATTACCTGGCCGAATTCTCCATCTCCTACAAGCCCGTCAAGCATGGTAGACCAGGTATCAGTGCCACCCATTCGTCGAGGTTCATTTCTCTGAAGTGAGTCCATGGGGGCAAACTAAAAGGTTATCCCATATTCTTTCTTTGTAACAAAACAATCACGAATCCTGTATGTAAATTGCTCCATTTTTTTGTTTAACAATGGATGAGTTTAGAGACAATCTGAAGCAGAATACTTCACATTGTTCAAATATAAGGTTTGATACTAGTTGGTTATTGAGGATGCATTGCATTGTTCTTCATTTCCTGTTAGTATGCCCACATAATTATTATGAGGTGCAGAACTTTTCTAGTATTCTTAATTTACATCTGCTAAAGATGCAGTTTAACTCTCAGGTCAGTGGATTTTCGCACTCCCGTCTTGTCTGCAATAGCTATGGATGGAGAAACGTCCATTTGTCTGATTTCTCTATATCCTTGTGTACTCTCAGGCATTCAAAATCTGATCCTCTTTTGTTTGCATTATTTAAGTTCAGAATGCCTATCCTGTATGCTGAAAGAATTGCTGTAAAAAATTGCGATGAATTGAGGAAATGTATGCAAGATTGAGAAAGAAGGTTATCTAAAATTTTGCAAATGTAAAGTCTTTGATTTTTTTGAGTAAGAAAGGACTAGTGTCAAAAAGTGAATCACAGAAGAAAGGATTAGTGTCGAAAGTGCATCACGAAAGAAAGGATTCACTGAGCCGGAATCAGTAATTAACATTAATTTAATATTAATAGAATAGAAAAGTTACACAATTTTACCCAAACTAAACCAAATTATGTCTTCAATAGATGTTACTGCCTCTCGAAACGGAAACTCCGTGAACATCTACAAAGGCCGGACTTTTTAGAATTTCGATTGAATATGATGGATTATGGCCTTGTCCACCTGAAAAGCCTTGGCTAATACATCATCAGCAATGGGGGGAATGGACCCGAAAACAGCGTTAGCAACAAGAACCGTTCCTATGTTTTGGCTGCTGAAGGCGGCGATCGAGATGGCATTGCTGGACCCCACGTTCTTTTGGAAGTGAACGAGCCCGGGCGGGAAGACAAACACGTCGCCCTTTTGAAGGACTCTGCTGATGAGCTTGTTGTCGGGGTTCGACATCACGAAGCCAACGAGAAGGTGGCCTTCTAACACCGTGATGATCTCAGTGGCCTGAGGATGCACGTGGGGCGGGGCAACGCCACTCGGAGCGTAGTCGGCCCGGGCCATCGAGATGCCAAGAGTGTTGAGCCCCGGTATTTGATCTACTGTGGCTAGGATGAACCCAAAACCCAACGGGTTTGATACATTGCTGGCCAAGTTAAGCCCGCTGAGGGAGAAATGGCTGGCTTGCACAAGCTTAGCATCTAAGCAAGGAAGTCCATTCACTCGAGCTGCAATGCAAGAGGCAGAATATCAGAAGGGGAAAATCCTACTGTCACACCCCAAAACCTACCAAGATGAGGGATGACACGGCCGTCCTTCCACCCGAAGGACGAGCCTCAAACCACATGCTGAACCACTCCCAAAAAGTCTCCAACGACATCGCCCTCAGCTTCTATCGGGCTACTAACCACAAACGAACCCGAAAAGATTGGGGAAAGAGAGGGGGATAACCACACCTCAAGAAGTTGCAAGGCGTATTCTTCTATGCCAGATTAGAGCAACCACTACGCACGTATACATAAAGTTTTACATCTTAAACCTGTGACTTCAATCCAAAGATATAATATATATATATATCAATCAAATACGAGTTATTTTATTTCATCAAAGCTTTATACAAGTCCCAAATATACGTTTAAATCCATCATCACAATTCAAACTATCAATGGTCAAGTCCATTGATCAATCTCTATAAAAACCACATCAATGGTCCATTCCATTGACTAATCTCAAATCACACATCAATGGTCTATTCCATTAATGAATCTCATCAAAAGCACATGCCGATGGTCCATTCCATTGGCTAATCTCATATCACATCACACATCGATGGTCCATTCCATCGATCAATCTATTACTCAATATCTAACCATGAGTCACTACACAAAGCCTTGTGACAAGGCTACCAAGATTCCCCCCTTGGCAAGGTCTCCACCTACAAAGCCGGTGGCTCGGCCCAGAAGGATATCCTAAACTCGGTATGCATACCCTCAAGCCCCTCAATGGGCTCACAGCGATATTGAGCATCAAACAATCATTTTCCAATACCAGAAATCCAATCTACAAATCAATCTCATAAACCAAACAATTAACTTTTCACAACATAGCCCATCCGCTATTTTCTCGTACCATTTCTCAAATAATTCATAAACCAGCTTCACAAGACAATACATATATAAACACTTTCACGACACATTTCATAATATGTTTCCATAACCATTTCATAATTCTTCATAAATCAATATGTATAACCTTCAACAAAAGAATTCTTTTCATAAAGAATTTTCTCAATTCATTTCACGATAATCAATATATAAGCCATTTCTAGAAATGTTTTACCATAACATTTCAAATAATCAACAGGGTAGTAAATGCCCGATCCGAACTTTTATGCAATAACAATACTATTTTAAGTTCTATATATATTTCAAGGCATGGGTTTTACAAAACCGAAGAAGAGATAGCACCACTCACCTGGAATCCCCAAAAATCACACAACGACGCTCACTCGAACCGACGATCTCGTAACCCTAACAATTAAACGAGAATCGACGTCAAAACCAAGTAAAATACTACGACAACTACAAAACGGCCAAACGATGCTTAAACGCTAACAGGGACAACTCAAAGGCGTTCACAAATTGCTCATCCAAAACGATTATCCAAACCGTCCGCAACGCAAAACTTGAACGCGAAACTTGATCGCGCCATAACTTTCTCCATCGAACTCGATCCTAGCAAACTTATAGTCAAAAGAAAGCCCGTTCGAGTATTACAAAAGCCCAACTTGGCCGTCCCAAAATCGGGCCAAAAACGGACGAAAATCAGCCTAAAAACCTCTGGTCGCGCACTGTTCATTGCGCTCAACTTCAAAATTCATATCCGGCAAACCGAAAGTCCAAATCGAGTTCCGTAAGATCTCACAGCCTTGCAAAGCACCCTAAACTACCAATTCTATATATATTCACAGCTCAACGACTCAAAATCAGACTTCGCCGCTCGAATAACTCATAACTCCAAAATATAAGCCTAACCCCGAAAAATATTCCGATTGAGCGAACAATGGGCGCGAATACTTACCGAGCGTGGCGATACGAACGAACTCCGGCTTGGCGAGACTCCTGTGGTGAGCACGTGCAAAAACCCTTTCTTTCTCCCTTCTTTCTTCTTTCTTTCCTCTCTTTCTTCTTTTCGGCGAGCTCTTGCTTCTCTCAGGCGATGGTCTCATTTTTCCCCTTTTATAATACTTCTTTTTATTCTTTTTGACTTTTCAAACTTTTTCTTCTCTTTTCTTTTCCTTTTTCCCTTTGACTTTTTGACCTTCAAAACCCATACTTTACACCTACACACTGAGAAAGTGAAGTATCATGGAATGGAGAGGGATGTGTAAACTCAAACACACATAACACCAACTCAGTACTATCCATTACCTACTTTTTCGAATGGACCGTGCACAAAAACTAGGATTTAATTGCGAAAACTAGGATAAATATGATACCCACTTGAGCTGGTAAGATCTGCGACGCAGAAATCTTGTAACGGGCTCGGCTCGTCTGCTGTCGCCACAGCACACATTATGGCAAGCACGCACGAGAAAACGAGGTTCTTTGCCATTTCAGTCTTCTTTGAAGAACCAATACAATCTGCATACATAAATAAGAAGAGACCAACTGATGAATCCGGCAGTGCTTGTGGCTGTATACGTTGAAACAATGGCTAACAAATATATAGTGGATGTGGCCGTCTCTGCCCCACCCCAAAACGTTGAAGAGGTCAGGGTTGCGTATGGGGACAACATATGGCGACAACATATAACGAAACACGTCCCTTTCCTAGTTCCAAAACTTAATTAATTTCAGCCCGGTATTTAAACAACGGAAGTGGATACTCTACCCCTACACCATGCTTTTTATGGGTGTCTCGACATATCTAAACCATTGATTCTTACCTCATTTCATGCATCGATGGTTTTAAGAAGCGGTTGAGACATTAATGGGAGCATCATGCAAGATAGGAGAAAATTGTCCAAAAAGCCCTAATCCTGGCTATGTTTGGAAGTCGGGATAAAATTCAGGATATGATAAATTTTATCCTATCCTGTGTTTGGTGTCTGCCCAAGATAGGATAAAGTCAGATATAGGAGGGATATACCCTAGATAAAATTATCTCATAGGAGAGGTGGGATAAAGGAGGATATGGTTTATAATATCCATAACATAAAATTAATTTTCCCGAATAACAAACTTGTTAAATTAATAAAATTAAAATAATATTTGAATATAAATATTATTTGAATTTTAATATAAAAAATTCAAAATAACAAAAAAATAACAATAATTTCGTTTTTATTTATTCTTATTTTTATTTATGTATTCAAAATTTCTTTATATCTTGTGATATAAATTTCATATATATAAATCAATACTATATATATATATATTACATATTTTAGGTATATTAGTATAGTTTACTATTTAATAAAATTTTATTAGAGAATGATGGAAGGGGAAAAAAGAAATAAAAAACAAAATAATTAAAAAAAGAGAGGAAAAATAATAAAAATGAAGTAGGTAAGAGTGTCGTGAGAGATTTTTATCATCTCCGTTTGTACAATTTTTAGGTTCATTTACACTGATACGACGTTCATAGCAAATAATGGATATGGTAAGAAGTGAAAATATTCGGCTTTATTTCTGCATTTTACCAAACAGTAGATAGGATATAGCAAATCCGTTGGATTTCATATCCTATTCCAGTCCTATCCTGACTAGAAATCCAAACGATCAAACGGAGCCAATACTGTACTTTGGCTGATTCGGTCATAAACTTTTTAATTTTGTCAATCGAGTCATAAATATTTTCACGTTTTGCTAATTGAGTGCATCCGGCCAATTTTAGCCGAAAATTGCTAACATGAATATCAGCCGTCCTACGTGGAACGGCTGATACTGATGTGTACAATCTTTATAATTTCTATTAAAATTTATGAATTTTTAAAATTTTTTTTTTCTTCTTTTTCCTTTTCTTTTTCTTTCTTTCTTTTTCTTTTTGTTCTTCCAATCTTGGGGAGGGCCGGCCGACCCTCGCTGACCACTGGGCGAGGGCTGCGCGACCATCACTAGGTTTGGGCGAGGGCTTCATGGCCCTTGCCCATTGTTTGGAGATGGGCGGCGACCTATGATCAACTGGACTTGGTAATAAAAAAAGGGAAAGAAAGAAAGAAAAATTATAAAAATTATAAAATTATAAAATTTATCCATGTCGGTGTTGGCTGTCCTATGTGGCACTACTGGCGTTCATGTTAGCAATTTCCTACTAAAATTAGCCGGATGAACTCAATTGGCAAAATGTAAAAAAAAATTAAGACTCAATTGGCAAAATTGAAAAGTTAAGAATTGAATTGACTAAAGTGTAATAGGTTTAAGACTTTTTAGACAATTTCCCTGCAAGATAGAGGATCTTCGTTTTTGGATCACAATAGAGAAAGTACCGGGAAAAACAAATGCCGGATAGGATACACTTTTTAATTGAAAAATTACCTATTAATTAGGGTGTCAAGAAATATCACCGTACAATTGTCCCACGATTTTAAATAAGTCCACTGTCGCAAAGATATATGTTTCTTTTCTCGAGCATCGTTGAATGTTATTACACGTAAACGGTTTGGTAATTACCGAGCATTGTTGATTTGCTAAAAGCTTGTACTTCAATCAATTATTTTTTAGGAAAGTTTTGCCCCACAATGATAGAAATGATATGTATCATTTATGAGAAGTCTATATAGTTTGGCGTCATCATTTCAAGATTTCTCCCTTCTCTAGGAATGAAAAGTGCAATCGAGTACTTTTATTAACTCCGTCAATTTGAATAATAAAAAATTCCGATGTAACTTATTTAATTTTCATGACATATGATACAACCGTGCTACGTAAGAAAAAAGTCCAAAAAAGTTTAGGAAAAGAATGGTGGCGTCATCAGGTGACGGTCGTCGACCCTTGTCAATCCCTCAGTAGGACCATCGCTTGTCGGTGAAGTTCGCAAGGTCCGACAATGAGGCTGCATGCTCAACCCCCAACCATTTCTCTCTCTCTCCAATTTGGTGTCAAATTTCTGCTATATTGTTATTACTATAATTTCTGGCTCCTTTGTCATTTTTGGTTAATGTTTTAATCTATTTTCTAATGTGACACCCATTTGACACTACATCAACGTCATGTGTGCTCAAACATATGAAAAATGACACATCA